GTTTCCAAAATTAAATTTTGAAACAAACTGCCAGAATAAGAGTAATAAGAGTAATAAGCAATAAGAGTGAGGGGACCACTAAGAAAGATATGCAGTGTATGGAGGCAGTGGAAATTGTGTATCATAAAGGGTAATATTTGGTATTAAACATTTAAAGATTGTTTCTAATTCCATTTCCACCTAAGGTAACTCCCATGTCAATAAAAGTTTGTCTGCCTGAGTTTCTGACTATATTATTCGCACACATTTTATTAGTTAGGTTCAAGTCTAAGGAAGGTTTCTGTTCAGTAATTCTCTTCATTTGGTGGCAGATAAAGTATTGAGGAGGTGACTGATGTGTCATGGATCAAAAAATAAGCGTTGGCTAAACAATTATGTTTCTGATTCATTTGCTGTGAAATCCCTTGAACAATTTTACGGGTGTATGTTTGTGTCAAGCACAGCTAGTACTTCAAATGTGGGTGATAAAGACTTCTCTCATTTACTGCTCTTGTTGTTCAAGAGATCAAGGTAGAAGATGGCTAACTGGTGAAATGACAGCAAGGATCAAATAGGAGATGCAGATTTTTATATGTGGTATGAAAATTAGTCCCATCAAGAAACACCAAAAAAGCCCTGACTGGTGTGCCTTGGCGGGGTGGACGTTGTCTTGCAGCACAAAGGGTCACTGGTTTGATTTCTGGTCAGGCACATGCCTGGGTTGCAGGTTCGGGCCATGGTTGGGGTAAGTGTGAGAGACAACCAATCAATGTTTCTCTCCCTCTCTATCTCCCTCCCTTCCTTTCTCTCCAAAAGATAAATAAAATCTTTAAAAAATAAACACACAAAAAACTGTTCACAACACCAGTGTTTACATTTATTGCAAATTATTTAAAATGTAATTGACATCAATACATGGCAGCAATACAATACTGCTGTTGTTTTTCAGGCAAAGTAAGAAACATACAATTCTTATGTGATAAAATTCAAGTGTGAGTGCTGCTAGACTAGAGAACCGGGTGGCCTGGTTTACTACGAAGGAAAACCACATAACCATATTTTCCAAACCCTTCAGTATCCAACACGATGAAGGTCTTTTATGTCCATTCTATGTAGACAAGACAATTTGGGGTCCTGTAAAAACTGCTAAAAAGTAATCTCCCTTCCCAAGTTTGCCATAGTGCCATACTTTTGTTCTTACTAACCTAAAATGGCCCCAATTAGTGTCATTTCTTTGGGTATTGTCTCCCTGTACACTATTAAAATGTAATGTAACTTGTAAGAAAAGGAAAGACTTTGGGGGTTCTCTCTAATTTTTTTATTCCCCAAGTCACACGAATGCAATCCAGATCAGAAGTTCCAGCTACCCTGTGAGAGACTGGGATGGGCAGAATTCAGCAGTGGGTCAGAACAGAGGCAAGCTCATAGCGGCAACTCCAGAGAGAGGGTGAGGGCAGATTTCAGTGATGCATGGCTTTGGCAATAAACTGTAAGCCCTTCATGGCCAGGGCCCTGGGTGACTCAACTTTGTATCTTCAAGGCCCTGAACATAATAAATATGCAGTTAGAGCATGAACAACTGCTAAATAGACTGTTGTAAGAAGTGGTTACTAATGCAGGAAAAAAAAACAAAGGGATGGAAAACAAGAATAAGGCCATGAATTGTATATTTAGCTCACTTTGGGGCTAAGTATTCAGAAGGAAGCCAGGATCCAGAAACAAGTGCTGAGACAGTTATTGTGGTTTTTCTAGGAGCCAAAATGACCCCGAAACTGGAGGAGTTAAGTATGAGGGAAGGATGACCAAAGGAAAAACTGTTCACAGAGGTACATTCTTCTGGATAAGAGGACCCTCTCCTTTCTTCTGTACAGCATTGCTCTTCTATATTTACCTAATGATGTTATTGAAAGAGGCATATAAAATCTACTTTTCCAATTAAGTATGGAGTTTGTATCTTCATACTTATGAAAACACATGAAGAAACACATGTGAGGTTATGACAGTAATCCGAAGGCTATGTTTATCTACAGTTAGTTGATTTTGTGTATGCATATCTACTTGTGACATATGGTTTATATGTGTCTGTTTCTGTCTGTTACAGAATTTTACAGAGAGCATTTGGATCATGAGTGAAATTAGTTTTTATCTCATTTTTTTTTTTTTTTGCCTTAAGTGTAGTTGTGTAGCTTTTAGCATTTGGTTCTACAGTGTGGTTTTTGTTATCTACATACATATGATTATTTGTACAAGTGAATTTCATGTAAATTTTAATTTTTAGCTGTCTTTGTAAAAGTTTGCTTTTGGAGCTTGTGGGGTGTTGCCTTTGAAACAATCTCTGTATCATGATACCCTGAGCTGAGGGTCTTCTTGAGGGTAAATACACTGAGCTTGGAATCACTTCTCTTTTTCAGCAGTACATAGCATAAGCATTAGGTGGACTCTTATTTTGGTTAGAGGTAAAGAAAAAGGGAACTGACAGACACAGGTGAAGTATCTTCAGATTTTCTTTGGTTTATCTGAATTTGTTCATCAGTAGAAATGAATACAGAGTAATTTCTTGCTACAGCATTAGCCAGCTCTCTTTTGTCTTTTCATTTTGTTCTAAAGGACTATTGAAAAATATCTGAACTAGCAGACAACTTAATTTTCTCCATTTCTCTAATGTTTTCTCATTGGCAAATCAAAATAAAGGCAAAAGATTTACCCTTCTGCAAAGTCTGAGCTTGGAATCCCAAGTTCTTATTTATAGAGTAGGGGTCAGTTTCCTTGCCCTCCACTAGTGCCTGGAATTCTCCTCTTGTCCTTAAAAAATCCATTTCTGATTGTATTTTAAAAAAGTAACAAGAAATTTTTAAATGTGAAAATCTTACCTTAAGGAAGCACAAAGTAACCCAAAGGTCAGAAAATATGCCAGAGGGCGCCTAAAGTTTTAATCCCTCTTTGCCTGAGTATTAAACAAACTTTCTGAAAATGAAGAATTCCATGGCAGACACTCATTGGGACAGAGAAGTATATGGCAAAGCTGGTGCCTTCTGGAAGAACCCAGCTATCACACTTTGAACTCGGCCCTCTTTTGGGGAAAAGAAAAGAATCACTAGCGTTCCCACGTAGACACATGAGGAAATCATACTCCTGCACGTGGTGTGTGGACCAGGTGTGAAAGCTAAAGAACCCAGGTAGGAAAGTTTTAGCGTGTAGCTGGAGAGAAAAACCTCCTTCTCTAGCAGTTGTCCGCCAAGTTGCCCTCTGCGCGCAGGCGTTCAAGGCCAGCCGAGACGGAGAAATGCCACCACTTTCTAACAATCCCTCGCGTCGCTTTGGAGTTCTTGGTTGCCATCCAATGGCTGTTGCCAGGACAACTTGCCTGTTGTAGTACTTCCGCGCCGGCTCGGCTGCAGCTCCTGGCGCCCCCAAGCGTCGCGCGTCCCGGCGCTTTTTGGAGCCTCGTTGGACCTTCGAAGCAGTGAGCTCGAGCTGAGGAGCCGCGGGGTGTGACAGGAAAGGTTTCCCATGTAATTCCTCGGGGCTAGGAACCAGGAAGCCGAGGAAAGCAGAAGTGAACGGACCCCCAACCCCCGTTCATTCCTCTCTGGCGCCCTGAAGTTGCCCGGTGGAGCTGTGAGGTTCAAATCTTCGGAGCATACTCAGGGACACCCCCATTCCTCCCAGCCCCTCAGGGACATGGACAGAGCCTGCAAGTGTGGCGGGTGGCGGGCTGAAGGGTGGAGAATATGACTAGAAAGTCCTAAAGGCCTCCAGGAGAAAGAATTAGGACCATTTTTCCAATCCTTCTCTGGCTTTCTTCTCCCAAAGAAAGCCCCCCGCCGGATCAGCTGGGCACCCCCAGGCGCACCAACACAGCGCCAACCTCACTTATCCACTGCGAGGCACAGACAGACTAAAGCTTAAGCGTACACAGAACACAGTATTAACGCCCACACGGTCACTTCCCTCAGTCTTCTGCAGGGCTTCTCCAGTGCTCCTCTCGGAGCCAGGGACTGAAGATGGGTTGGGAATCTAAGAAAGGGTGCGGGACAGTCCCCAAGCGCGGTGGTAGCGGGCTCCTTGCCACTTAACACGTTTTCACTCCTTCTGTTTCCACAGGTCTTTCCACCCTCGGGAGCTGCTGTTAGGAATTAGGAGCCCTCATGTCCCTCTGGGGGTGAATCCCATTTTTCAATTGAGGGGTGAAGGCAGATGGGAGGGGGAAAGAGGGAGAAACTGGAGGGGAAGCCGCAGGGGGAAGAAGAAGGCGGGGGCGGGAACACGGGGGGTGAGACGCGCGTTTCCACTCTTTGTCACTCTTGAATTGGGGGCGGAGGAAAAAAAACCCACTATGGAAGCTATAAAAAGCAAACGGGGTGGCGGTGAGAGAGCAGACACAGAGCGGGAGACCGCGCGGAGCACAGGACAGCCCCAGAGCATCGCGGCGTCCCTGGCAGCGCTTGGGTGCCGGGTGCGAACCAGGGAACTACGCATCGGGCGACTGTAAGCGCACGCGTGGGGGGACCTCTGCTTGCCTCAGACCTGGAGGGTCGGGTCTGGGGGCGGTTCCTGATCTCGCATTATAGCGCCCGCTAACACTGAAAAGGAGGACTTGAGTCTTGCAAAGGTTGAGACTTAAAGGGTAGGGAAGGAAAGAGGAGAGAAAAGCAACGGAGGCCAAAGGAGAAGGAACTAGTGTAGACCTCCTGAGCAATTAAGAGGAGGTTTGGACTGTGGAGTTACAGGCGGGACCACGGAGCAGAAGCGGTTCGGTCCGTGGAGCCGAGTCTTATTGCACTTCGGGTCACGCCTCCTTGGCGAGAAGGCGTCTCGCCTTTGATTGCTTCCAGTTACTACAGAACTTCCTGCCCTGGTGGAGAAAGTGGGTCTTGCTTGGGTCGCGCTCGCTCCTGATTTGAGGCGTGAGACTGAGTTCACACAGTGCTGGGCCCTGAAGCCAAGTGGGGTTGGGGGAACAGCCTGCGAGCCTCCGCGCCCCCAGTAAGTGGCCCCGTGTTGGAGTCCTCCCTCCCATTGCATCAGCATCCCTCGGGCTTTGCGGCTCCCCGGGGACCCCTCGCCGGGAGATGGCCGCGTTGATGCGGGGCAAGGACTCGTCCCGCTGCCTGCTCCTACTGGCCGCGGTGCTGATGGTGGAGAGCTCGCAGCTCGGGAGTTCGCGGGCCAAACTCAACTCCATCAAGTCCTCTCTGGGCGGGGAGACGCCTTTACAGGCCGCCAATCGATCTGCGGGCACATACCAAGGACTGGCTTTCGGCGGCAGTAAGAAGGGCAAAAACCTGGGGCAGGTAGGAAAACACCCCAAATACACTCTTCTGCCAGGAGAGGGAGGAGCCAGCGCGCTGGAGAGCGCCGTTTGTCTTTGTGCCCCTTGACCTTCCGAATGCGCCCGCAGGTGCGGTGCGCCCGACTACCGGGGAGGGCAGGTCTGCGAGGGCGGAGGTGGCTGGGTGGCTGCTGGCGCTGGAGGGCGTGGAGCGGGCGGGTGGGGGTTTTGTCTCACCTTTGCTTTGGGGCATGGGAACGTACTGAGATCTAGTGCGTGCCGGTGGGGAAAGTGGCCAGAATGGTCCTTCCCTAAATTTAACACGGCAATGCTGAGGGTGATGTTAATATTTAACATACAGCAATGGGCAGTGTTCTAAGTGTTTTACATATATTTAATCTTTACAACTCTATGAGCTAGGCGCTGGTACCGTTCCTAATCAACAAGTGGAGAAATTGAGGCACGGAGTAGCAGCTATTTGCCAAAGACATACAGCTAGTTTAAATGTCAGAGCGAGGTTCCAATCCCAGTCTAAATCAGGGCCCTGGACTCTTAATCATTGCATTTTCCAATCTAAAGGAGACTGGCGCTTACCCCTTTCCAGATTCACCTTTCCTCCCAACCACTTTTTCTCTCAAAGAAATAAGGTCACAGACAGGAAGCTCCAATAAGTGCGCATTTCGCACTCCTGTAGAATTGTAAATAAATCATCCGGGAGGAAGCAAAATAACGAAGTGACAATGACAGCATCATAGACGCGGTCGGCCAGCGATGTAGCAAGGAAACCCGGGGAGGCATTTTTCCTAGAGGGAACTTTCCGCGGGCGTCTCTGTGTCTCTGCCTCACAGACAGATAGATTGACAGTCACATGTAAACAGTTAAGATAAACAGACATGCACAAAGACCGGCGCGCGCACTCTGCACCAACAGTGGCTGGCGCGCAGTGGCCAGGAGAGGGGGCCCTGTGGGCACTGGGAACCACGGCAGCGCCTCCTTCCGCCCCTTTTGTAGGAAGCCAAAACCGAAAGCCAGGTTGCCAAACAGCAAGCGCACTTGGCACAGCACAGCTGTCAACCCATGAAGGAAGGGAGCTCATTGCCCCACAGATTTCTTGTTTCTGGTTTTCTTGTTTCATGAAAGGAGCCAATTGCAGGGGCTCCGTGCCTGCTCGGTATCTTCCACTGCCCTTGACCCCCCGCAAGCGGTGGGGCGAAGGTTGACAGCATGGGCCAGTCCTGGATGGACAGCCAGGGAACACTTGGCCCGCGCTTGGCCCCCTACTGCCCTCTCGGGAGACACTTTTGCTGGTTTTGCCGTTCCAGAAGCCTTCCTGGGCTTTGAAATGTCAAACATTCCAGCTATCCTCTCAATGGAGAACAAGTCTGCAATCACAGGATTTTTTTTTTTTAAGTTCTTAAGGGAAATAAACTACACATATGCATACACGCCACACACATACATATCCTTTGCATTTTCTCACACGTGTCACATATCTCCACACATACATGATCACTATCCTTTTTCTCTTCCCTTAGAAACACCCTGACATTTCCAACCAGGGCTATTTTAACATTCTCTTAGAAGTCCGCCATGAGATGGGGCATGGTTTGCAAAGAAAGGATGCTCTCAATACAAATGATCAGACATGTCTCTCATGCAACTGACTTCAAATTCCAGCTTGGCAGTTGTTGAGAAGAGCTGAATATTTAGTTCAGCCAGGGACAGAGGGATGGATCCAATGTTCTTTTGATTCCAATCCATGCCCCATCTGTGAGTTTCTGTAGAGGACTTTCTGTTTCCACCACGGCTGAGCCTCAACACCTGATGTTCCTCAGTCAAATGGTCAGTTATGGCAGCACCGTCACTAGCCGTGCGGTTACATGGGCTACACTGAGGGATGCGCCCCAGAATCTTTTCTTTTGATACTGTATTTTGTATATAAAGATGTATAAAATATCTGCTTATGTTATTATCTCTCTATATAGCTGCTCCTGAAACAGGTTGCAACTCAATTTGAAAGTCTGCAAATAAACTGAAGATTTATTTATTTATTTTAAAAATGAGTTGATTTTTTTAGTTGAATTTCTCATATTCCCTCTGAAACAGTCATTCTATAGAATATATTTTCTTATATTTATTTAACTGCAATGTTAGATCATTAAAATTTATTATTGGGTTTGTGAGAAAATGGTAACATACTAAAGAAAATGGTAACATAAAATAAAGCATTGAGTTGAATTGCAGGAAGATAGCTGGGGAATGCGAGGAGCATCTTTTGTACATTCTGGCTGCTCACTTGTTTAGCGGGTGATCCCAAATGTGTACTGTTGTGAAGAAACAAATAGAAAAATCTGCCTTCTTTGAATATTTATGGGTCTTTTTATCTTCTTTATTCTACTAGTTATATAGTCACCAAAATTCTTAATACTTTTATTTTCAGTAAAGGAATGAAAATTAGAAAAGACTTTCCAAAAGGGAAGTGTTGTTTCCTTTTACGGAGAAAAACTTTAGAATTGAAACATAGCTAAGCTGAATTTTTATTCATTATAATAGAAAAATAAGAATGACTGAGAAGACTGGAAGTGCCAACTGATCAAACTAGGTAAATTTTATAGTGTCATTCTGAGACCTAATAAGTTTAATTCTCTCCCTTTCCCCCATCTTTGGCTGATGATGTTGAAATATGTGCATTTCAGAAATGCAGGAACAAGGAATCGTAAGATGCAATTTCAAGTAGGCACATTAGACACTTACTCTTTGGTTTTCTATTTTTAGTGAGAATTGTCTACTTAGGTTTTTCTGATTTATTTTCAGAATAGAAAATTAAAAAAAAATTTATTTCCATTGCAGAAGAAATTATCAAAAAATTTATAATTTGTTAACCTACAACACTGAAAATGAGACTAAATGGGCCCCAAGGTTGTCTTGATTCACTGTAGCTTGATTTCATATAGAGAAAATATTCTTTTTTTCTGTTTAATTTTTGGGGTGACACCGGTTAACAAGATTATACAGGCGTCAGGTGCACAGTTCTACAGCACACAATCTAAACACTGCATTGTGTGTTCACTAGCCCAAGTCAAGTTTCCTTCCAGCCCATCTATACTCTCTATACCTTCCTCCACCTCCCATTATTTATAGGAATCCTACTTGTTATAGGCAAGGTGCATTATTTGGAAGTCACTCCTTGAAACTGTGCCTTTGAATTTCAGAAATGAACTAGAGGGCTTTCAGAGAAAACACAGTTTTCCAGAGGTATTACAATTCTTCTTAGGTTTGCTTTCAAAGATACAATTATGAATTATGACAGAAACTGACATAGAAAATTGAATATAGTAATATTTTGGGGACTGGTACAGAAGTAGCAAAAATGTTTTTGCTGAATTATTCATATTAATGTTTTAATTTGACTTTCTGTTTGTATCTATTGCTAATGAGTTTAAAGGGGTAGTGAACATACGTATACATGGGATATATTAGTTTGTAGGATTGTTACCAATCTATATGTGTGTCCATATTTATATACTTCAAGTTCTAAAGAGACTGTTGCAAATTTTCTAAAGCAAAGGTAATTTTAGACAAAATCTTCTAATCATTTGATTAAATATATTCTGATTAAGTACACTGTTGCTCAATATCACCTCTGGGGTTTGAGGTATCAATTTTTATGGGCTACCTGAAAGGTTAATTTTAGAAAAATCAGTTTATAATGTCATTTTACCTTTGTGATATACAATGATATTTTTTGGGGGGGGGAATGAAAAACCTTTTTGATTTATGTCCGTAATTGCTTCTTTTAGTCTTTACTCCTTGCTTTGTCTTTTCAGGCAAGCAGATTAATTAATTTGAATATAATGCTATAGAATTTTAAAATATTTTTTAAAATTATGGATAAAACTATGGAAAATGATTACATTTTAAAGGTAGATAAGCTTCCTGACATGTGTCTCTAAATAGAAGCTGAAACTGCTTTAACATAAATTCAGATTCCATAATTTCCTAATGTAACTTGGACATGTGGAGGACAGTGGTTTGGAAGAAGTTATGTTATGAAAAAAGGATGCTTGAAATACATTGAAACAAAAGCTTGAGGGAGTTGGTTAGAATGCATTAATATTTGTATATTGCATTTTTCAATACAAATGCTGTATCTATTTGCATGCACAAACACGCATGAAATTGCTTGCTCGAATAAACTATTCACTCTGTTTTCTGTAGGTGATCTCCTCATTTTCTGAAATTACCCATGATTTTTTTTAACTTCAGCCCAACTTTCCCATGCTAGAGAGTAAATATTTGCTATCTCCTCGGGACATCAATGGACACTAAATGAAATCGGGAAAGTAAATCATTTTTAAAATGAAATTTTCCAAAAGAAAAAGATTTTGAAACAATCTACACTAAGGTTTCTTTCCTTTCACTGCAAATAATACAGAATTGATGATAGGGGATACAAGTGGAAGGTTACCTCATGAAAAGCAAGAAAAATATTTTAATGATAATCTAAGTATGAGCATCCATCATTTTATTTTTGTGTTAGTCTAGAGAGAGCGAGGGACACAGTTACTTAAACTCACTCCAGCTGTGACTTCGACCCTGCCATAGTCTTCTGCAGTGCTCCCATCTGAAATAAACTCCTTCCCAGGATGTTTCAAATATTACAGTTTTTATTTTAAGTTGAGGAAGCAATATGATAGAAAGGTAACTGATTATTCTGTTCTAAGAGAATATTGTGACTTTCTTTTTTTTCCCCCCTGCACAATCATTTTAAATGTACATTGTAGAGGCCTTTTATAGTACTCAATATATTTACCATTTTAAACTAAGTCTCTTCTGAGTGTATTTCTTGGTATTTATATAACATCAGAATAAATTACAATTTTATTTCTGTGTGTGACTCCCTGATGGCCCTTTAAAGCCATTTTACTTCATACACCTCTATCACTTATCTTCATCTACAAAAAACAGAGAAACCTGCTCTTAGTTATTTAACTGATGACTGAAAAAATGTAGGCAGTTCTG